GTCAGTCATGGGTAATATTTATAAGTTAATGGATTCAAAAAAAAAATATTTTAAATTGCTGGCATAAATGAAAAGAAGTATGGACCTAGTTGGAGAAAAATTGATGTAAGATGGGAAGCCCACCTTCATAAACCACTACATGCAGTTGATTATAATTTAAACCCTCAATTTCGCTTTGAAAATAATTTTTCTAATGATGATGAGGTAAAAGATGCATTAATTGCTTATATGGAAAGAATGTTGAACTATGAAGACCGACATATAGTTGATATTTAACTGGACTTGTATGATAACTTATGAGGAGACTTTGGGAGTTGAGTTGTTATTGATACAAGAAAAATGAGATCTACTGATCGGTGGATAAAATTTGGTGGAAAAGCACCTAAGTTAATGAATTTTGCGATTCAAGTTCTTAGCCTCACATGCAGCTCATCAGGTTGTGAAAGAAATTAGAGCACTTTTAAATCGGTAATAACTTTTTTATTTCTTAAAAGTTAAAATTATTTCTATTTTCTTTCATAATCACCTCTTAAAAATAATACGTTTTTATCTTAGATTCATATTAAGAAGAGGAACAGGATGGAGCATAAGAGGTTGAATGTTTTGGTATATGTAAGATACAATACTAGACTGAGGGAGAAAAGTATAAGAAGAAAACAAGACTTTGATCCAATACTGATATATGATATAAACTCTAATGATGAGTGAACTGTTAAGAAAGAAGATCCAGTGCTTCTACAGGAACCTTCTTGGATGAATGAAGAACAGGTCTTTGATGTTGATGTAATCAGAAATGTGTCCATGACAAATGAAAATGAAGAATCATAAAATAATACATAAGAAAGAAATAACATTTTTATAGCATATTCTAACATGAAAAGAAAGATGAATGAAAGAACAAGTTTCATATTACATTTAATTGTTTTTTACATAAATATGCATTTTTAATTTCTTATAGAAAAAATATCCTAAATGTTTACGAATGTCATTTTTTTTTTTTGTAATTTAGACAACAATGATTAGGAGAAATAAATTATGAATGCACCTGAGATTGAGCATGATGAAGACTTCAATGAAGTGGATAATGAATGCAGAGAATATGAATGACCTAGTTGCGATTTGGATACAATTATTGGTGAAGAAGAAGAAGATTTTGATGATAAGTTTGAAGAATGAATAACCTTCAAGGATTGAGATCAAATGATCATAAATTTATTATTTATTTTTTGGCTCTATTTTTTGGCTCAAACATGTTTACTTATTTTTATATGTTTCTATTTTCTTTTTTTGTAGATTTTTGCTAGTATCTTGAAGATTCTAATCCTAGAAAAGTTGTTTTGTTTGTGTTTAATTTTTTTATTATGCACAAATAGATATTTTTTTTCATTAGTATTTATATTTGTTTTTTTTTAATACTGCGGGGCTTATGCCCGACACCTTGGGGATTTACACCTCGCCCCATTACAGCTAAAACGCCCAGCCAAACGCCCACGGTTTTTAAAACATTGGTAAAAATTAAGAAAGATTCATACACATATCAATTAATTTTATGCATTTAGATATCTAACACCAAATTTCAATTTCTACATATATGCCACCTTACATATTTATGAAAATATGCATTTCGCTTTTAAAATTAAAAATAATGAAAGATTAGGATGGTATAAAAGAAAAATCAAAATTTAGGTGTTAGATATCAACATAAGAATTCGATGACAAAAAAGCTAATAATCATTTTATTTCTTTGAATGAATAATTGATTGAGAGAACTTAAATTTTATTATGATACAAAATAATATATGCTTAATTTATATATTTTGATTATTTCTATATACAATTTAATTTGTTTTTTAAGATAAAAAATAAATTTTATAAAAATTATATCAACTAAAATAGGAAATAAAAGTGAAGTCAAACGAGCTTTTAGTTTTTAAAAGATAGTGTTATTAAATTTCTCTTCTTTTTTGTATTATTCTTAATGTTTTGTTTATTTAATTTTTCTGTATATTTTAATAATTTTTATCATGATGGTGTGCTAATGTGTATTTGTGTCATATATTTTCAATAATAGATGTGTTTTGTGTCTGTGCGTGTTCGTATTCGTATCCGTGCAGCATAGCATAAGCTCTTTATATGTGAGGAAAAAGGAGGAATAAGACAATAGATCTTGGAGAAATGGAGGAAGATTAATGCATTTCAATCAAAAGATCAGCCCCCTATTTAAACAACCAATTGCGCCTACATTTTGCTACAAGCCTAAAAGAAACCGTCAGTGATGGCAGTGGGCTAGCACCACCCAAATCTCATCCTTGGTGAGTGCCTGTGCAACACTTTGACATGCATAAACCTACCATCGACACCAACTGATATGATGCTCTCTCAATTAAAAAGGCCTTAAATAATCCCGAATCATGCAAGAATTGGGTCAAGAACGTCATATTTGTGAGTCTTGCTTACAATGCAATCCATGAGGCATGAATCACATGATATGCCCAATGCACCAAACCTAATGTCTCGCTCACTTAGCATAAATTATGCCGAAATGAAGAATCGTCGTACCTCAAAATTGACACAACCTCCACAAGGCAAAAAAAGTAAGTGGCAATACTGATATCTGTTAGTCTAAGAGGATGTCCACGTTGATGTTCAGAAATTAGCTGTGGGTTAAGAATTAAGTTATATCGAAGCTAAACCAATATATTAGCACTCAGTTCTTATTGAGCTGACCCACCTCAACAATATTTTTTTTATTTTCTACAAGAAACCTAAAATATAAGGAAACAACTCTAACGTATTTATGAAAATATAAGAATCAACTAATCTTGGTTGTCCAAAAAAATGATGCTATAATTCATGCTTCTACAATCTTCGCACGGTGAAGGTAGGAACAATTTAAAGTCTTCTAAATGGCTATCAAATCACTCAAAGATGGGTAAGGACCCATCCATCAAATTCATAAAAGCGAGCATAAATCTTGGCGTGTCAACTAATATTACATGATCCAGCATGAATCTCAAAATTAAATTTCTTCTCAATCTATCTGTTACCAACAAGAGCCAAATGTTCCAGCATGCATCTTGGAGACAAGTTGTTTTGCTTCTCAGCCCTCGAGATCAATCAAAGTACTGAAATAACCTTCAATCAGAAGCATTTCCATCCAACATGAAGCTTAAAGATAAACTGTACGCTCAAGCCATCAATCGTCTCACAAAAATACTAAACTATCCTTAAGCCTCACATTGATAGATACCCTCTTCCACTGAAAGGTAAAAGACTATAAACGCCTAGCTCCCCATCAAGGGGTCCAAGGCTCTATTATAAGCCCTCGTTCTCCATCCTGAAAGGTTTTACGATGAATTATTGTAGTTATTATTCACCTTCAAGCTTAATCATTGACTTGAGCATCAGGGAGTCTTTACAAGAATTAAATCGTGGATTTGGCCTGCTGAGCTATTACTTTGGTGATTATGTGAGGGAAACAACATCAGGCTCAAAACAAACCCAATAAGTAAAATTCTATTGACAAGCAAAGACAGTTTATGGTATGCAGCAAAACAAATTAGAACCAAGCTTATTGAACAAAGCCTAAAAGTGCAACCAATAATTTCAAAAATAATAAATTCTTGAATCATCATTAAAAAAAATTCAACAAACTTTATTTATTTATTTTTCTCAATGGTATCATCTAACTGCAATGGCCATTTTGATGTTGTTACTCGCGATCAAGATGCCCTGCCAAACAGTAATTTTTGTCGGCCTCCCGCCGCACCGCGCGCAGGAAGCCGCGCCAAAAGAACCCTTAGGGTCCGTTTGGGGCAGCTTATAAATGCGGACAGCGTTTTCAAAATGCCGCCGTACTGTTTGGTTCGTGGGTTTCACCAGCTTATCCGAAACTGCGTTTGGGTTTTACACTAAACGCAGGCCACGGGTCGACCCCTACAATCGACCCGCGGGCCGCGTTTCAGGATAAGCAACTTATCCTGAAAAGCACAAGCTGCCCCAAACGGACCCTTAGTTGCGATCAATGTTTAAGACTTTCACAGAAAAACTGATTTTGACCCAAACAATTGAAAATACAACACAAGAAAGTTCAAATTTGACATGCAGTAGGAAAATAGATTTTTTTTTTGTTTTCCCGAGACTTTGCATTATCATTGTTTAAAAGGGCATTTAAAGCCTAAGCCTGGAGGTTTGCCTCGAACTGAGGTGCACCAAAAAAAAAAGCCTCAAGGCTTAAGCCTTGCTGTCATCAATAAGGTTTGCGCGCCTTTATCATTTGAGGTGTACGCCTCGAGGTATATGAGGTGTACGCCTCGAGGCATTTGAGGCAACACTTCAATAAAGTCATTCAAAAAATATATTACATCATGTTATTTATATATATTAAATTATATTATATTTAATATATATGATGTAATGCCTGAAAAATGATAAAAGATAATTTAAGTATGACTACGTGATTATGTTATTAATTTATCCTTTTGTTTTAAATTATATTGGATTTCAGATTAATTAAAAAGAAGAATAAAATTGTAGTTAATAAAGAATATTTTAAAGTTGTAAATGAGATATAATTAGATGATAAGGAATATGGGGATTCTTTTGAAGATGACGAAAGCAATTATAAGTCCATTATGGATCTTGAAACTCATAGAATATTTAAATTTTAAGTGATGTTTATATTGAATTATATTTCAAACTTCTAGTTTATATCAATATTTAAGATTAAAATTTGTGGTTTTTGTCTTTATGATGGTAAATTAAATTTACATATCAATGGTTTAGAATATATTTATGAACTTTTTAAATTTTATGAGTATTATTTCTTTTCTTGAGGCTTATGCCTCAATCTGCCTCAAAGCTTATGCCTCGTCTCAAAAGAGCAAAATGCTTTGATTTCCGATTTCACCTTTTTAAACTTTGGGCCTTATTATGTTGCGAAGTTCAAAGAATTATGGAAACCTACCAGCCCAAAAGGCACTCAATAATACAGAACAAACCTGATAACAATGGCATCAGTTGAACCAGCAGCAGGAATGATTCCAAGCCTAAGCCAAACGTTGGGGAAGCTAACTGAAATGCTCTGATCTGTGCTGTTAGACAAAGCAATATACTAAAGAATTTCTATTAATCTAAAATTAAGATTTCTACCCAATCACTCTAACGGCCGTGAATTTAGAAAAATTCAAATATCAATATGAAAAAAAGCCAGAAATAAACAAACCTGTGCAAAATGATTCCTGATCACTGGTTGCTGTAAAAATCAGACAGATAAAATACATTAGGGTCTCAATTACAGCTTTTTGGTACTGTATATAGTGATGTTTGCATAGAAAAAGATATCAATATCTTGGTACACGCTAAGCTTTGAGATACCCAATCCATGAGATTCAGAAGCTGAGAGAAGAGGTTCACGATCTTCACCCTTTACTGCAGTCTCCATGAAAATGTCATGGTGATTGTTAAGTGAGTTTCTGACATTGTTGTTACCCTCGTAAACATGCTGCTGAAGCTGTTCTTCAGTATCAGTAGTACTAAGCTTCGTAGGGGCTGGTGGATAAGGTGCTTTATGCCTGGAATGCAGAAGCCCGTTAAGAACTTCATTGAAGAGTCCATCCCCTCCCTGAAATGAAGTCCATCAAAGGAATCAGAAAAGTTCTCCAGCGTACTAAATGAAAGAAAAAACTTTAATGAAAATAAAAAGTAAAAAGTTATCCGGAGTTTTGCAAATGAACAGGAATTTGTGCAAAAGCACTACCGTGTTGAGATGTGAGCACTGCTGATACAAAATAACCGCATCTGCTTTGGCCAGCCTAGAAAGTGCTCAAACAGCTATAAATGCTGTGCGGGTTGAGCATAAGTCTAAACAAAAATATAATTTGCATCGAGAATTGAGCTTATATCTTTAAGATTTACAAAAAACTCATTTTCAAAATTCAAATTTAAAATCCTTAGTTGATGCATGATTTGAGTGCACTGCCTTTTCAAAAACCTCAAGTCCCACGTTGTTCAGTCTAATATTCCTCTTCAAAAAGACTAGAATTGACAAAACTAAGCTTCCATTGAGTCCATCAATCTTCTTTCTTACAAAAATCAGAGTTGACAAGACTAAAACTCACAAATAGTTAATACCGTATTAAGTAGACTATTACATTCACTCTCAAAGTAATTTATATTAATAAGGATGTGACTCGAGTCCTCCGTACACATGTTTTGGCCCCAATGACTCCACAAATATAACGATTACAATCAGAGTCCTCTGATCGAGTGGCTTAACTCGATGACTCAATTATACTATGATTATGATTGTAACCCTCGTGTTCCAATAAATTTATGAAACTTTCAGTTATAAATTATAGAGTATACTTGATAACGCACAAAGCACTTTGTTAGCTAAAATTGATTTTAGATTTATTCTCTTAAAAAAACAACCACCCTAGATCTATAAAACTTCTTTCAACAAAGGAACACAAGACTACTAACAAGAATCCTTCAGTCAATGTGGGTCGATTAGTTCCTTCGACTAAGTAGACTAGTTCACATTACACTCTGTATCATGAAACTAGGCAGAGTTTGTCATCCTTCCCTCCATCATCCACTTTAAATTCACAGTGATAAATTTCTTAATCTAAAATTAAATTATTGATAATATATGCAGAGCAATTAATATCCTAATAACTAGCTTTAATCATAAGTGTTCTCATGTTATCAAAAGTAACTAAACATAGGAGCTTGCGCTTATAGATAACTTCAAACCTCAGATTTTAAAGTCCTCAGAAAATAAGTGTGAAATCATTGGGTGGTTTCTTATCTATATTTTCATCTACCTTTTAAAAATTTTTTACCCGAAACATAAACAAAACTTTCAACAAAACTTTGATCTCATTTTTTATGGAGGTCGAAGCATGAATTTTCGAGCCCACGCCACAAGTTTATTTTTCAAAAAACAAAGAAATAAAAGAAAAGCATGCAAGTTTACCAAACATAAGATTAGTGACCCTTGAATCGAAAATCCACTAGGTCATCCAAAAACAAAACTTTTGCACTCAAGGTAATTGTTGTGAAATTTAGGGCAAAAGACAACCAAAGTCTTAAGGTGAGAAATTTTTACATCTTTCTCACTCCAGACTTCTTCAAGTAATTCACAGTTTAATAGAACAAATGGCCCCCTGTTGATCAAATAAACTGCAATACTGACCGCTTCTGCCCAGAAAGTAGGTGGAAGTCCGGCGTGCAATCTCATGCTTCTAGCCCGCTCATTAATGGTCATGTTCATGCGCTCTGCAACACTATTTTGTTGTGGTGCCTAGAATGGTCTTCTTCATTCTGTTTCCCTGAGCTGCACAGTACTCCTTGAACTCACCATCAATGTACTCACCACCCCACCATTATCAGACCTCAGACCTCAGACATTTCAGTTTTAAGCATGTCTCTGTCTCAACCATAGTCTTCCAAGTCCTGAACATACTGAATACATCAGATTTATACTTCAAAAAATAAACCCATACATTTCTGCTATAATCAGCAATAAATGTGACGTAGTAACGAGAGTATCCAAGAGATGCCACTAGAGAAAGACCCCACACATTTGTGTATACAAGATCCAGTTTTCCTGCCTTTGGCTTCCTACCACTTTTCAAGAAACTGACATTTCTCTATTTCCCCATAATGCAATTCTCGCACATGCTAAAATCAACTGACTTTAGTTCAGGTAGCTTGCCTCTGGACTGAAGTTCCTTCATACTCTCTGACTCATGTGGTCAAGCCTGTGTACCGGTCTCCAAGTGGGAGATATGTTAGAAGTGGAGACGGTTAAAAAAAAACCCCCCGCACGTATTTCTTCCGCCCTGGACCCCGACTCCCGTCTTTGCGATCTCCCGCTCCCGTGGTTCGCGATCTCCCGCTCCTGTGGTTCGTGATCTCTCGCTTCCTTCTCCTTTACGCGATAACAGAAACTCTCGCCTCCTTCATTTCGCGGAAGCAGGAAAGTAAACTTCCTGCTTGGATTGCTTGAATTCTTGTTGAGGCTTACGAGAAGCAGAAGGCAAAAAAGGTGTTTTCGCAAGGTACTCTTTCTTAGTTAATTTTGCGTGCTTTGAAGGAAGAAGAAAGTGTTCTTGATTTCTTCTTGGTGGCTTGCGCAAGAAGAGAAACAGATTTTCTCTTGTAAGTTTTTTTTCTTCTTCGGTGTAGAGAGAGAAGAGTGAAGAAGTGAAAGGAAGAGTTCGCTCTTGTAATTGGAGACAATCAACTGGTGTAAATTCCTCAATTAGTAAAATCATCTGCAACTCCGTGGATGTAGGCAATTTGCTGAACCACATAAATTTGTGTGTTCTTTTCTATGTGATTTTTCTCGTTCTATTTTTTCACTTCGTCCTTGATCGTTTTAAATTTCATATATACCACAACAGGTAATAAGGTTTACCTAGCTTGTGATTATTGTTTATTGAAAGAAGCTAAAATAGGGCTAGTAACTATGTTTAAAACTCATTTAATAATAACTCGATATTAAATTGACTCAACATCAAAATAGATTTGCTTCCATTCAAGGATGGCTCTTTCAAAATTATCATAATTAAACTTGAACCATTTACAAAAAAGTATGCATATTTGTGCATAAATGTGTGTGAAATATATAATTTTTTTAGTTAAAAGACATGACTATAACCAACTTGTGAAACAATTTGAAATCGATCATTTTTTACTGGACTTGAACACGACTCGTACCAAAATAAAAATATACGATTTTACGTAGAGTTGGCTTGCTCAAACTAGGATTGACACTGCCTCTAAAATTGAGCCATCAATGGGAAAATTTCTAAGCTGAAATTATGTAACACATGTATGTCAACACACTCATTTTGTCTGTCATAAGTGGTGTTTCTTATCATATTTTGTGTTGTTGCTATAGAACTTAAACGAATTAAACATATGTGCCAATCTCATTTAATATGCATCTAATTAAGATAATTATAGATAAAACAACTAAAAAATTATCAAGTATTCCGTGTAATTTCAGATAATCACAATCCTGATCATAATACATTCTAGATCATTCAGCTAAACCATTTCATGTTTGAAAAAAAAAAACATGTACAAAAACCACTATATGAGCCAAATAAGCTCAAAGAGGACATACCTTAATCTACAAATAAAATAAACAAAATCAAGCACGCCCTTCGCCAAGCTTGAGCTCATTTCATAAGAGTATGTTCAAGCTCGACTCAAGCTCAATTCGAGTATATGTGATGGTTTTAAGCTCAGCTCATTAGAAATCGATATAACTTGAGCTCAATTCAAGTGTTGTTCATTGAATGGGAAGCGAGCGACTTGTTAGTCCCCTAAATAAGCAAGTATCAAGCCTATTAACAAGCAACTATCGTGCAAAAAAATGGATAATCAAACAAGCTACAAACAAGCCCTCTAACAAGCTTTGATATGATATCTTAAATTATACTTCAATTGTCCCTTAAATGAGCTTATGAATAAACATATATATCTTAATGAACATGAATGATTTTATGAACAAGAGGTCAAGAGAATAACATATAACAATAGAATGATCTCATACATTCTAAAAATGGCAGCAGTCTAATAAAAACATTATCATTCCAAAACATAAAACATAGACTTTATAAAGATCTAGTAAATTATGCTATAGTCAAGCGCCAGGAATAGCATTGACATATGCACATGATAGAAAAAACCTTAGAAGGAAGGAGGAATGCTTGGATTAATGACTGTAAGATTGAGAGAGGTGTTTGAAGACCAGGCAATGCAAGAAAAATTAGTTACAATTGATGAGGAGAATTGGTGAACATCACAGCTAAATCGAGAGAAGAGATGTGAATAGAATTGAGAGCGCGAGTAGCTAGGGAAACTAAATGGTGAGTGTTAATAAACAAATGTTTCGAGCTTGAAAATCCTAGATTATGAAATCATAAATTACATTCTTACAAACTCAAATAAGGATGAACAGGCCAAAGGCGATAAGGAGACAACTACGGGCAACTAGAAAAGAATGAGTAATTAAGGAAAGCAATCAACAAGCAATGACTCTTAAAGCAGTGTACTTTACAAGCCTGCAATCTCGGAATGAGAAACAATGAACCACGTAAAATGAATTGGCTTAAATTCTAAATGAACCATGTTTCAATATTTACAAGCATACTATGTCATTAAGCCTGCACATGATTCTTTTATAGTATACATTGCATGTTAAATAAGCTTATAATTTGTCTTAAAAGAGCAAATTTTCAAGCATAAAACAGGTATCTATCAAAAACTAAACAAACAAAAATCAAGCTTTCAAAACCTATATAATTGAGCTTTATATGAGACTATTCATTAACTCATAATTATATTGTTCATTATCAAAACTGATTCAGGAAAAAGCATGTTCAAATTTGTTCTTTAATGACCCAAGTAATTAGAAAAATGCTCAAACTTATTTATTTAGATAACTAAAAAATCTTGAACGAGCCATAAACAAGCCGACTCATGAGTAACCCTTGAGCGTTTGAGTTTGCTTGTAGTCCTAACCATATCCAAAACAACGTGAAGTGAAATCAAATCATTGAACCCCTCTCAAATTAAAACAAAAATCAAAACAAGCCCAAATCAAATTTGCAAAGTACATATACATAACACATTCTAGGACTAATAAAAAGCAAGGACATTGACTAAGCAAATCTTCATCAGGGTTTTGAAATAACATAACTATCTTTTGTTCCCTCCCTTCTTAATATCTCAATAAATTTGAATGAAATTTTTATGTCAATGATAAAAACTTTCAGGTAGTTTGCTTTTAAGTGAGCCTATTTCATATGGAAAAGAATATGGATAAATACCACAGAAATAATGCCATCAAAAGACCTAAGCTCCTTGTCCGTTAATGATTTTAGCATATCATATGTATGTCCAGCCCTTTGTGTCACTATTACCTGAAAGAAGTGACCAAGCAATCAAAAATCATTAAGGGCAAGCCCAAATGCGCAAAAATACTCAGCTTTTTAGGGTAAAAACATAGTAACTGAAGATGGATCTCACACAATAATTAAAAATTTGCCATTATTACAAATGTCAAATAGTAGTTATAATTAGCACACCTTTGTTGTCACCTTTGCACGAGAAAATAAAGGAGCAACAACTTCCCAAGTTTTTTGACCATTTCCTTTCCCGCATCGTGGATGAACAAAAACCTAGATGTGGGAGTTTTTCTCCATCATCATACTTAACCAAACAAACAAGTGGCTTTTGATATGCACACAAAAAATCCCCACTCCAATAAAGGGATTGCAGCAAATTGAAAAAGATTAGCACACAATTCTTATGTATTAACATATCTCACAATTAAACTTCCATATTTACAAACATAGCACTCATAGCACTCAAATAATAGCACTCAAATATTTAATATCACATCAAAATAGCACTATTACCACTTTTTAAAAGTGAAATACACCTTTTCATATATAAGTTTGAAGCATCAAAGTACTATGCATGTAAATATGAAAGTTCAGGTGTGAGATATGTAATTACATAATAATGGTGTGCTATGTATGTAAATATCTAGTGGCTCAGTGTACCAAAAGGTTCTTAGGCCTTCCAACTTGCAATTTGACGCAAGCATCTATTTGTTCAAACAATTCTTGGCATGCCTGTAGATCCCTATGACCAAAGGTGTGAGCAGAAAGAACGAGAGGAGAAGTGCTGTTCTTGCCTCTTTGGAAACCATGCACCACAAATCGATACATCTGCATGAAGAAATGTTAAATAAGAATCAAATTCTGCACGCTGAGCGCAAAGTTGAGAAAAAAAAATAAAAAGTACATGACAATTTTGTCACGTGTGCCAGCTCCAACAAAATGGAAATGTTGCACAATAAAACATTCAAAACCTCAGCGCTACTATCACCATTCATCAAACCCAATCCGACAAATTCGACCGCATAAACATCAGAAAATCGGATCTCAGTTTCAGACTCTGAATGAAACAAGATCTGACAGCAAGAAGATTCATTCGTGTCCTGGTAATTCAAAAGTAAGTCGAAAGGGTTAGTAGTCAGTAATTTATTTTAGCCATTCTTATACAGTAAAATGCGGATAATAGTAACATGGAAAGAACTGAAAGGCCTTAAAAATAGTTTTCATTAACCAAATACGTCAAATTAAACATAAATTAAAATCATCTATGAATTTTCTCCATCAAAAGCCTCAATATGACTTCTGTTATCATCAAATTTTGACAGAATTTGCACTTAAACATTAACTATAACATGTGAAATTTTGAGAGTTTGAAACAATAAGGATCTTGTATGACATAGATCTCAAACACCAATGCTCAATAACTTCCGGCAACCAAGAATTCACAAAAATGCAAAAAATCAAAATCGGAACAAAAACAAGGTATAGTTTGCTTGCCAAGTACTTACAATAGAAACAGGATTCCACGATAATCCAGTAGGGCTAAGACTGAGAACAACCTCGCCGACGCGATCTAAGAAAAGAGTGGAGCTCGAGGCAGGCGCGTTCGAGTCCATGGTTGGAGCACGGAGGCGATAAGGAATAGTAAAACCCAACTGGATTAAACCTTTAAATCCTCTTGAGAGCTGCCTATTAGGTTCGCTCGTCTCCCCGCCTGGAGGATGAAGATAAAGCTGCCAGTAACTTGGAAATTCTCCCTCCCTCCGCGGAAAAAACCGGGTTGTTTGACCAGACTAATCTCCTGATAGGAGAAAATGGTAAAATATGGCCGTTGTATTTCGAGTGACTATTTGTACCTGCTATTGTACAGTACATAATTTTTTCTCTTTTGCGGGAAAGATACTGTACATACTTGGTAAAAGGAAGAACTCAGTGGCAAGTGCAAGTCAAATTCAAAATTTATTTTCACTTTTTAAGAGAAAGTTTTTACCTAGATGGCACACACTTCTTATGTATTTACATATTTGACACAAAAATTTTGATTTTTTACATTCACGAAGCTTAGCTATATGTAAAAATATGCACTTGACTTTATGGAAATTAATGATAATGTGTTTTTATGTGATACAAAAACTTGAGTATTGTAAAAATTAAAATTGAAATTTAGGTGTTAGATATGTATATAATAAGAATTGTGTTGCACATCGTATGTATGTTTGTATGTAAATGCCCAAAAAATTTATCTTATAAACATTGAATGTTTGTTTTTATACATATTTGTATATCGTAAAATGAGATTATTTTAACCAATAAGGAAGCCCAAATACAATCGGACTACATGGGCTTAATGGAACGAGCTTACTAGGCATAAACTTATTGGTATGGTGCTGGCCAAGTCAATCGTACACGTTAGCTATATTTTTTTGAAGTGAAAATCTACAGAGCTCCTTGCTGCCAAGAAGGACCTCATCAATACCTCTAAAGCACATCAAGTTTTCTGTGAGTTCTTTTGAATGGATTCGCTAAGCTTCGACCAACGAATGAGCTCTTCTAGTCGAGCTCGCTCACATGTTTTGAGTTTTTCTTCCGAACACCCATGGACTGGTTGAACCTTCCCACCAAATTCATCGATAATTACCTTGTTACACCACCGAGCTCAATGGACACTTCCTTGAGACAGAAGGAAGAGTACTCCTGGTCTGTCGGCACATATATCACTATTTATTAACTGCATGGCAGTTCACACCAGCGGTCTTCTCAACAACGAGTCTGCTCATGCTCCGTACGATATGATCTGCAGCCTAGTTTTATATTTTATTCTTTAAAGCCCCACACAGACGCATAGGCTCTATAACAAGTAAATAAGAAGAAATATGAAAGAGGAGGAACCGATCCTGGACCCTTAAAAAATGATATATCTTTTGGTTGAGGTCTAGAAAACTTCTTTAGTAGCCTAGGTCTAGCCATAGGACTTTCCTATTGACTAGTCTTAGAAAATTAGAAGAGGTACCCCACCATTAGAAATTCAAAACTCTTCTTTTTACTCAGCTTGAAATTCCACATAATGATCTTAACCTCTAGCATTTAGTAGGTAAAATCATTATAAGAGAATTCAAGAAGAATCCCTATAG